AAAAATGTGTTCATTTGTCGGAAAAACCCATGTCGGAGGACTATAGCATATAAGTAGCTGCCAAATAAATTCTTGAATGGAAAACTTTTTTAATTTGACAAGATATCTTCAATGATACGATTATTTGTATCATCTAAAACTAATCGCGATAGATATAGGCTTATACAAGTATATACATGCAAATATAAATGTTTAGGATGATAAGACGAGTTTAAATCTGGTTGACTGTCTGAGTAATTGAGATATCTTGATCCTTATGCGGAGTATGTCAGTCAGTGTGTAAGTTATTTATTTATAAAATTGCTTGAACATGTTTTCTCAAACCATTTAGGTTGGTCAAAAAGTGTGATATTTTAATAAATTTAAGGACAAGTTTTCTCAAAAATTATTCTAATTATGTGGTTTAGCACTGGATATGAATGAAATCGGTCTAGACCTTGGTCCAAACATCGTATACCTGACTTCCGATTATTTGGTTGACGTTTTATACATCAACTCAGTATATTAAATTTAGCCTCTTAGGTTCAGCCTTTTTAAGTATTTATATCAAAAAAAACACACTAAATTCTGTTATAAATGAGTATTTTAGAAACAAAATAAAAAAAACAGCAACAAAAAATCAATTTGAAGTTACACCCAGATCTTAAGTTTGCAGTTAAAAATCAAATGATTAAAATTTCAATATAAAATTCTGAAACAGGTGGGCCCTTCAGTTAAATAACCGTAAGTTCACTCGAAGACGAAGTCAGGGTTATACTTTCCCTCAATATATCAGTTGAGGGATTAAAAGGCATTCAAAGGTTTGGATGTACAAGTATTTCAAATGAGATTCCTGCAAAAAGTATTAGTAATAAGAGACCAATTGATGCATTTTCTTCTCATCCCTAAACTCAAAATTAATCACCATGTCTAACGCCCACGCAAAACAAAAAAAAAACAAGAAAAAAAGTTAACTTCGGTTGCACCGAAGCTATAATACAAATACAAAGGCCCCTTACATGAACTTGATTCCGAATAGTGATCTGATCTGACCAAATTTTCCATGCAAGCACTTTACTCCGATCGTTCAGTTAATATGGCAGCTATATGTCATAGCATCCGATCTATACAATTTCTTCGGCGATTAGATTATTGCCTTAAATAATAATCCATGCCAAATTTCGTGAAGATTCCTCGTCAAATGAAAAAGTTTTCCATACAAGCACTTGATTCCGATTGTTCATTTTGTATGGCAACTATATGCTATAGTGATCCGATCTATACAATTTCTTCTTAGATTGGATTAATGACTTAAATAATAATACATGCCAAATTTCGTGAAGATACCTCGTCAAATGAAAGAGTTTTCCATACAAGCACTTCATTCCGATTGTTCAGTTGGTATGGCAGCTATATGCTATAGTCACCCGATCTGAATAATTTCTTTGAAGATTAAATTGTTGCCTTAAATAATAATCCGTGCCAAATTTCGTGAAGATACCTCGTCAAATGAAAGAGTTTCCCATACAAGCACTAGATTCCGATTGTTCAGTTTGTATGGCAGCTATATGCTATAGTCATCCGATCTATACATTTTCTTCGGCGATTAGATTATTGCCTTAAATAATAATCCATGCCAAATTTCGTGAAGATATTACGTCAAATTAGAAAGTATCACATACAAGTACTTGTTTCCGATTGTTCAGTTTGTATGGGAGCTATATGCTATAGTGGTCCGATATCAGTCGTTCCGACAAAAGAGCAGCTTCTTTGTGAGAAAAGGACAGGTGCAAAATTTGAGATCGACAGCTTAAAAACTGAGGGACTAGTTTGTATATATACAGACAGACGGACATGGCCAGTTTCCTTCTGGGTGTTACAAACTTCGTGGCAAACTTAATATACCCTGTTCAGGGTATAAAAAGGGTTTACTTGAACAGCAAAAAAATATTCAAAAACAAGCAAAAACGTTAACTTCGGTTGCACTGAAGCTATAATACCCTTCACAAATACAAAGGCTCTTTAAAAGAACGTGATCCCGATCGTTCAATTTGTATGGCAGCTATATAATATAGTGATCCGGTCTTGACAATTTCTTTTTACTTTTTTTTTTTTTATTTAACGAAGAAGAACACATTGTTGCCTTAAAAATTAACTTGTGCCTAATTTCGTGAGGATACCCTGTCAAAAAAAAAGTCTTCCATGCAAGCACTTTATTCCGATCGTTCAGTTAATATGGCAGCTATATGCTAAAGTCATCCGATCTGTACAATTTCTTCGGATAATGCATTATTTCCTTAAATAATAACCCATGCCAAATTTCGTGAAGATACCTCGTCGTTTAGTTTGTATGACAGCTATATACTATTATCATCTGATCTAAACAATTTCTTCGGAGTTTACATTGTTGCCTTAGAAAATAACTTATGCCAAATATCGTGAAGATATTAAGCCAAATAGAGAAGTTTTCTATACAAGTACTTGTTTCCGATTGTTCAGTTTGTATCCTATATGCTATAGTGGTCCTATATCAGTCGTTCCGACAAATAAGCAGCTTCTTAGTGAGAAAAGGACAGGTGCGAAATTTCAAATCGATAGCTTAAAAACTGAGGGACTAGTTTGTATATATACACACATACGGACATGGCTAAATCAACTCAGCTCATCATGCTACTCATTTATTTATATATTTTATAGGGTCTCCGACGTTTCCTTCTAGGCGCTACAAACTTCGTGTCAAACTTAATATACCCTATTCCGGGTATAAAAAATATGAAATCAAGTTTTTCAAACACGTTTATGAAAAAAATATATTTGTCGATAAAACATTTACTTTGTGGTAAAAGCGAAAATTCTTTTCGTATCGATTTCGATTCCGGAATGAACGATTGGACCCAATGTTTAATATTAATTTCAATAAAGAAAGCTGTGTATTTGCAATACAGTACAAAACTTTTCGTAAAATGAACACTAGAACTACGAAAATTTACCATATACCTATTTCAAATAGGTCTTTCTCTCTCTGAAAATTAGCGTAAGAAAAAAATAATCTATACATAAATTTTATAAAAATCATGACATTGTCGTAAAATATTAAATAGAAATAAAGATGAAATGGTATAAATAAATGATGCACCCGGTCATTTTGACCGGTTCGTAGTTCTAGTGTTAATTCACGTGTTAAGCATTAAAGACCTTTGTTTTCAGATACACTGTATGGCATGTACATACATAACGAATATACTGTAACTGCCCATGATACACGGAAAGTGGCGATTGCCATACCTAGATATGCATGAGTATATGTGCAAATGAATATGTATATGCACACACAGGTATATACTATTATCATTAAATTGCCATTGTATGCTGTTAAATAAAATAAAAGTAAAGTTGTTGCTTTAGACCCCTTGCAATATTCATGAATGAGTCATTGTACCTAATAGCCAGCAGAGTACTTGCTTATTCACTAACCATTGCCGCTGTGCATTTTAAATACTTATTTCCACATATTGACAAACAGTTGCAACACATGCATACGTACTAAACATTTTTGTATAGAAGCAAACATTTTGTCTTTGCATTTATGTTGTTTTTGTATTCCCGTTGTGCCAAATGTAAACTCCAACAGGCTGATCGACAACATTTTAACGAAATTTTCGCATTTCGTTTTGTCGCATTGACGTAATTTTTCTCACACTATTTATCCACTGTTTAAATAGGCATATGTATATACACGTTCTCCATTCTTGCTTATTCATACGAGTAAACATGGACATATGTACATATAAACTTTTTCACATTTCTTCACAAGCCAATTTTTATTGGCTTAGCTCCAGTTTTAATACTTAAATGTTTACTTGGCCTAGCTAAGTAAAATAATTTAAAACTTCACACTCTTGGCCGCATATTGGCACTAATGACCCGTTTATACTGAGCATGCACAAGTAGAGCTCAGAGCAAGGCCGAGCTCAATATCAGGCTCATTTGCCTGGAATCGCTGGTAACTGCAAAGCCGATGCCTGGTCGACGACCCACTCCTGTGCGACTGCGAGATCCTTTTCGCCAAGAGTGGATCGCAGGACCACAACGCACCGGAGTTTGAAGCTGTCCTTCTTAGGGTCGACCTTTAACCTAACCTAACCTAAGGCAGAGAAAGCGGCCAATAAATCGAAAGAATTTCTGAAGTAGGCAGACATTTTTTCGCAACAAATTTGACATTCATTGTCTGCGCTATTGGATGCGCGTTGCTAAACTTGATTTTCTTTTGATGACCTCAATGTGACTTCCGACATTCAATTCGCTCGTAAAATCAGAAGTCAATTATAAAAGAATTTTATAAATCAAGGTCCTTTCCGTCACAATATTTTATTCGAAATGGTCGCTAAAGAAAGTATAATAAATTAAGTATATACCTTTACAATTTTTGAAGAAAAATTTGAATTTAGCTACTTAACAACCTATGGCGACAACAGCTATTAAAATTAGATATACCAGTTCAGAGAAGTAAACAATTAATTATATTGAATATTGTTTTGTGAATTTCTTTAGTTAAGGGCTCCAAAATGGGAACATCGGGTGAAGTTGTTTTCCTACATCAATTCAGTTAATTTTTTTGTCAGTATCTAAAGATGGGTGGAAGTCATAAATACGAGTACGAGAGTTTATTTCCGAATATCGTTTTCCTATTTATTACTTGTTGTATTCATGTTCATAGTTAACTTTCTATGAGTTCATTTAAGTTTTAAGTTAAGCTTATTCACGTTTCATTGCATTTAATTCCTGCGAATAAAAAAAATAAAAGTATAGTTCAACTACAAGAAACCACAACAAGTCTGCAAATTACCAATTAACTGCACAACTTGTTCGGGTTCCGAAGGAAGTTTTCTGCATGCCACGCGAACAGTACTGTATATTTATTTTACGGTTATGTACTTTTCCTGGTTATTATAGATGCATTAACTATTATCTATATATAGTAAAACCTTTTTAACTAACTTTTCATTTACTTATAATTTCAGGTAAGCAATCTTGTCCAAACCCCATTCTACTACAACAATCGTCATTTGGCAGGTGATAGATCACAAAAGTACTAGCCGGTCATTGAAGACTAAGATTTGTAGGTATATGTGTATAGCTATTTATTAATAAGCAACTTTTAATATGTATGTACAAATTCGCTGTATGTTTAAAAGTTTCTTAAACAAAAAATTTGGACGAAAACGATTATATTCGTATGTTTTCAGCGGATTTTTGTCACCAGTATAAATGAAAAGCTATTCAAAAACACGTCGCTAAAACTACTAGATGAAGAATAATATTGCCGTATTACCAATACTTATTTTTTTTATTAAAGATGTAGATCGGGAAGTTTATTAAATACGATTTTAAACAACGTGAAATTAATTGATTAGTCTTGGTTTTGTCTAACCAATTAGTAAAAATTTATTAATTTTTCGAAAATCAGAGTAAAAATGAAATGTATGAAATAAATAAACTAAATAATGATTCATATTAATAATACATGTGTGGTGTTGTTTTTTTTTTTCTCGTAATCGTACATAAAAGTACCAACATAGTCAAAGGATCCAAAAGCATAGTAACAACTTGCTAGAACAACAGAATCACATGTCTACGCGATCGAGGGCATTTAAAGTATTTTAACAACTTTATCAATCTTTTTATACATTTATGGTATTGAAAATATTCGGATAGAAAGTTAAAAAAACAAAAAGCAACAAAACAAGTAAGAAAGGGCTAAGTTCGGGCATTAGCGAAAATTTTATACTCTCGCAAAAAAACTGCATACTCTCTAAATCCATTTTAGCTAGCACACTGTGCCTAGTTTGATCCAACTTAAAAGATGGAATAGCTTATATCTCCATTATGTTAAAAGCGAAACAAATCATAAATAAAAAATATATATGTATGTTTTTGTTAAAAATTTAACCAAAAAATTATTGTTATATTAATATGAGTAAAATGCAAACCAAACACGAAACACTGCACATAACCATGCAAGATTTAAACGGCAACGATAAACTTTTCAGTGGTGGAAACCCATATCTCGGGACCTTTTCTGTTTTAAACAAATTCAATGGTAATTTTATTCTTGTGTTACTGTGCGAAAATGGGCGAAATTCGACTACAACCACGAATACTTCTCATATAACACAACAAATAATCCATATTATTATTTCACTTTCCAGTATACAAATCAGCTTATGACCAAAAATTGTCCAAATTGTACAAAACCTATTGAAGCCTACCTAAGGTACCTAGGCCGAATACCATCGAAAATATTGGTCAATCTGTGAGATATATTATATAAATTCAGAGAGAATCCTTTTCTAATTATAGTATACCTGTATGCCAAAAATGGGTTGAATTGGATAAAGGATTTACTTAGCCGCCACATGCCTAATACAAGGATTTTCCGGTTTACTATATACCACATATATTGGTCCATATGGGAGTTACCTAGGTGAAAACGAGTGTTACTAATAACAATGTATCTTTGTACCTAAAATGGATAAAATCGGATGAAAACTTGCCCTAGCCCCCATATAACTAATATCACGATTTTCGAAGATCCGGCTGACCATAAGTGTAACTTAATAATTTCAACTCTCCGGTTGGCCATATACTATGTATACGAATTACCCCCACTCTCATATACTACATATAATACAATGATTTTCGTCTTTTTAACGAGCCTTATGACGAATGTGTCGTTCAGTGTGTGACTTATGTGTTTATAAAATTACTTGAAAATATGTTCTCAAGTTTACCTGAGCAATGTTCAAATTAATGAAATCAGCCGCTCTATTTCTCTGCCACCATTATACAATATCCGACTTTTCACCTATCTTTAAACCGTACAGGTTGGTCCAAATGAATGATATTTTAATGAAACTAAATTGACAAGTTTCCTTGAATATTATATGGCTTACCACTGAACATGAATGAAATTGGTCTAGGCCTTGGTCTAAATCTCATATCCCTAATATAAAGAATTTCGATCCTCTGGTTGACGCTTTGCACATTAGCTCAATATATTAAATTTAGCCTCTTCGAATGAGTATTCTCGTTTAAGGATGATTTTAATATAATTTTTAAAATACATGAATAAAACTAAGTGAGTATATAACCTTAAACATAAGTTAATAAGATGTCAAATTTGATTAATTTCACGATTCTGTCGAATAATGATTGTTGAATTCTTTCGCAACATTTTTAATTTTTGATCCTTGCAAGTTGCAAGAATGCGAAATGTTCGGTTCCACCCGACCGCAGACCTTCCTTACGTGTTTATTAAAATATTTATAAATTTTTCTTGTACGTAATCTCTGTAGTCATGTTTTGCTTTTGCTTGGACTAAACCGGTCAGTGTATGAACTTTGACCTGCTAGCTGCTAGCTTGGTGTCAGTTTTAACCTTGAAATTAACAAATAAAAAATTACCATATAACACTACACATAACTCGTCGTCGATAGTAAATTAACAGCAGTCATTATTATTATTATTATTTTCTGTTTGTTAGTTTACGGACTACAACATCGCTACACACCCGTCTCTACGTACATTAACGCAGTGTTGGATATTCATAATGATTGTTGTAATTAGTCAGCAACGTAGAACAGGCTCTTAAGCGCAGTAAGAGTTAGACGATTACTCAAGTCATATCGGCTTTGCAAAGATCAGATGTTTTAATTAACATGAATATATTTTTGCCATTGTGTAACTTTTATACATACTCAAGGGAACTCGAGTTAATGGCGTTAACGTTGTTGGTATATACCATATTTATGTATTAGCGTGATACAAATTTAAATATGTTAAGTTCTACATATTTTTTAATTGAAAGTGGGGAAATAAAAAATCTGAATAATCGGTTGTATGAGAGATGTCTGATGTAGTTGTCTGATCTGACCGATTCCGACAAGATAAACTTTGCCTTAAAAATCGCTGGCTCGAAACCGGTTTCAGACCTATAATCTCTTAGGCAAAGTTGTTCAGAAGAAAGAATCCGTATAACATTTCCCGCATATGTGATTTTATAGAAAAACAAGTAAGGATGGCCTAAGTTCCGGGTGTAACCGAACATTTTATACTTTTGCAACTTTCAACGATCAAAGCCGCCTAAATACCTTCAGGTGTTAGTAATATTAAAAAATTTAACGAATCCTCTCAACTTCATTGTTCGACGAAATCGTTAATGGATTGCAAACAAATTTGGTAACTTATTTTGAAGGTTATAGACTCCCTTAGTTTTATTTCTATATTTTACTTCCAGTCAGCGAAAAATATACTAAAATTATCCTCAAATGAAATATATGTGATATAAACTTAACCGAAAAGCCCAAATTTAATATATTGAGTTGATGTGAAAAGAGTCAACCAAAGGATCGGAATTCATTATATTAGGAATATGAGGTTTAGACCAAGACCAATTTCATTTATATTGGGCGCAAACCATACATAATTTTATAACTTTTAAGAAAACGTGTCCACTTAATTTCTTTAAAATATCACTCATTTTGACCAACATAAACGGCTTAAAGTCAGGTGGAAAGTCGGAAGTCATTATATATATTGGGGACAGAGAAATGGAAGGCCTGATTGCATTAATTTTCGATATTGATCAGTTATAAATATAAATATATTAATATGGAGTAAAGTCAGCCGGATGTTCGAAAATCGTGATATTAGTTATATGGGGCTAAGGCAAGTTTTCTACCGATTTGATCCATTTTAGGCACAAAGATACACTGTTATTAGAAAAATTCACTCTCTCAATTTTATTAAAATAACTTACATTGGCCATAACATGTGGTATAAAGTCAACTGGAAGTTTTAAAGTCTTTATATTAGGTATATGGGGTTTAAGGGAAGTATTTACTCGATTCCACCCATTTTAGACACAAGGGTATATTATTATCTAAGAAACATTTTCCAAGAATTTTAATAATATACCTCTCAGATTAATCAATATTCTCAGCAAAAAGTCGCACTGGGGTCGCAAATTTAGCGTGTATGTTCTTGAAAAGTATTAGTCCGATTTCAACAATTTTGGGACATAAGATGAGGGCACTATTTGTGCAAAGTTTTACATACATACATTTATTGGAATTTTATTAGGCGTGGTTTTCGTCTGATTTTGTCTATTTTCACACTGTAATATAGGAATGTTAGGATAATATTACATACCAAATTTGGTTGAGTAGGAAATCTCCAATTTTGACCCCGTCTCCTAAAAATCCCTAAATAATAAAACTATTTAAGGGTGGGACCATGCCCTTTTTTTAATTTTAACCCACAGGTGCCTCTTGCTACTGCAATCCCCTGTACCAAATAACAGTTTTATATCTTAATTTTGTGCTTACTTAGCGCATTTTATAGGTTTTCGATTAAAGACGTTTTGTGGGTGTGGCAGTGATTCGATTACGCCCATCTGAAATACGAACCCTCCTTGAGTACCAAGGAACATTTGCACAAAGTCCTAAAGATATCTCAATTTTTACTCAAGTTACAGCGTGCACAAACAGATGGATGGACGGACAGACACTCACTCGTTTCAACTAGTCTCGTCATTTATAGCTATTATATATGTTGCAAGAGTATAAAAATCGACCCGCTCTAGTATATACATATGTATATCGTTTCTCATATTTATCAGAAAAGAGTTCATATGTATCAAGAATCTTATATTGAAAGATTTGTTTAACATATACACTAAGTATTGATGAAATGTAATTTTGTATCTACTTAGTTAACGAGTTATTATTATGATTTACTGCCGGAACATGAATTATTTATTTTCTTTGTATGCGAGTTTTGCAAATTTTTTTAACTCTCATAACATTCGACATTATACGAGTAATTTCAGATAAGTATTTTTTCTTGCCAGAGGCATTAAATATCGCTAATACAATACTTAAGTAACTGATTTATTTCGTAAGAAATAAATTATGAAATACATATGCAATCAGAAATCTATATTGAATGTATTTAAAACTGACTTTCTTCCTTATATATCGTAAAATTATGTAAACACCAATCCAACTAGTTGTAATAATACGTACGGATATAAATTGAATTGCACTTATTTGTTTTTTCAAGCAGTAAGTAACTTAAACAATTTCAGCGAGTTGGCTATCTAATCTACAGCCTTCATTGAATTCCAGCCGCTCCAAGTGCCTTGTTAATTGTTTTATTCGAACGTTGTTTTATATGTGCAAAAATGCTGAAGTTCTGGAACACTGCGATAATATTGTGACCTGTTGCTTCAAAAATATTATATTTTTTTATGATAAAAAAAATTGTAAAAAGGTTGGAATTTTTAAAAAATATACATATTATATATATACTTAGAACAAAAATAAATAAAGTAAAAATTAATTTTTAAGTTTTAATTATTTATTTTCTATGAGGATTTATATGAACCATGAAAAACAAAATTTTTTTGTTATGCACTGTATTGTGTTAAAAAATAGTTTTAAACAAGATATACTTTCAATAACAATAATTTTAATAATTAAACACATATTGAAAAAAATACGCAAATTCGTCCAGATGCTGTTGTTGTATAAACAGCATTTTAACTTTACATAAATATACTAAACGAGTCTCATATAATATTCCGGTTTATCATAACTTACATAGATGTAGCTTACATTCTTATCTAGGTTATAAATATAATTATAGAAAATGCGCGATTCAGAATTGTTGTTTTTACACTCTCGCAACATGTTGCTACAGAGTATAATAGTTTTGTTCACCTAACGGTTGTTTGTATCACCTAAAACTAATCGAGTTAGATATAGGGTTTTATATATATAAATGATCAGGATGATGGGTGACTGTCTATCCGTCCGTCTGTAACTTGAGTAAAAAATTTTTTAGCACCTCTATCTACAGTGTAAAAATGTGGGTGAAATCGGGTGACA